CGTGCCACGATTTTTTACGTGGCAATTGTTTATGATACACAGTGCCTTAGCAGAATACAAGTTATCCATATTAGAGTTTTGCTCTACTTTAATCCCACAACAGCCTAGTAGTCATTGTAATAATATTACATAATACACGGACTATTCACAGGTAAAGAAGCGTGAATGTACGGGTGCGTACACATGATATTCATTTTGTATCTAGATGCTTAGCTTTGCAATCTGCTATGTCTGTTGGGCTAAAATAAGTTGTGGACAGTCTGATTGAAGCAATGATTTGCAACCTGTTCTTGTGTAAAAAGCCACAATGAGAAAAAATCTGACCTGGTCACTGTTCCATCAATGTCGCTCACAATAATGCGGTCTGTGCTATCCCACAGGTAGATCTGCGCTCGGGTGCGACATGTGCCTTGAAATTTGGTGCAGACGCTGAACATAACTTCATTTGCTCCACTGTGCAAGTTTAGACTTCTCTGTATAGAGATAAATAATACAAGCATGGTTATCACAGGAGGAATCTGGTCTGTTATAGAGCAAGGAAGTCAACTGCTGTACAGAGGACATTTATCCAGTGAGCAGGGCTTAGAGTTTTCATAGAAATTTTAGTAACTAGATTTCAGCTAACTCTAATATCTGCAAAAAAATTAATTCAGATAGTTTGAATTTGTTAAGGAGAATGCCCCCTACAGGGACACAGACAACAATACAATCTTCACAGAGGTGTTAAACCTACTTTGCTCTGTCCAAAACGTTTTTGATCATGTTGGACTTTAAAGGGCCCATTCTCAACGTCTGCACATACTGCTCTCTATCATATCCTCCCCACTACTGCCCATGGTCATACCCTCCTCGTTCCATTCCCGCACATGCTGCCTACTGTCATACCTTCTGTACAACTCTCTTGAACCTACTGCTCACTGTTTTTCCCTCTCCATTCCTTTCTCACACAAACTGCCACTCTCACACCTTCCTCATCCCTCTCCCACACATACTGCCCACTGTCATACCCTCTCTATTCCTCTCCCACACATACTGCCCACTGTCATACCCTCCCTATTCCTCTCCAACACATAAGGCCACTGTCATACCCTCCATATTCCACTCCCATGCACATGCTGCTGCTGTCTTACCATCTGTACACCTCTCCTGCACCTACTGCCCTCTGTCATACCCTCCCCTTTTCCTCTCCCATGCAAAGTGCGTGCTGTCACACTCTCCTCATTCCTCTCCTACACGCACTGCCCACTGTCATACGCTCCCCATTCCTCTCCCATACGCACTGCCCACTGTCATACCCTCTCCCCATTCCTTTCCCACACGTACTGCCCACTGTCATACACTCCCCATTCACTCCCCATCCTCTCCCACACGCACTGCCCTCTGTCATACCCTCCCCTTTTCCTCTCCCATGCAAAGTGCGTTCTGTCACACTCTCCTCATTCCTCTCCTACACACATTACCCACTCTCATACCCTCCCCATTCCTCTCCCACACGTACTGCCCACTGTCATACCCTCCCATTCCTCTACCATACGCACTGCCCACTCTCATACCCTCCCCATTCCTCTCCCACACAAACTGCCCACTGTCATACCCTCCCCATTCCTCTTCCACACAAACTGCCCACCGTCATACCCTCCCCATTCCATTCCTGTATATACTGCCAACTGTCATACCCTGCCTCTCTGCACATACTGCCCACTGTCATACCCTTCCCATTCCTCTCCCGCACATACTGCCCACTCTCATGCACTCCTGATTCCAGTTCCACTTCCCATAGACTGTCACCTTCTGCTGCTAGCTGTCATACCTTCCTAGGCCTCTCCTGCAAATCATAGCCAATAAAAGAGTTCTTTGACTTCAGGAAAAGCATACATAATTGGACAGCAACAAGTCTCTCTCTTACTATCTGCTCAGATGTCAGACGTAGGGATTTCCGATATGGACAGGGCTGTTCTGGATCTGCTGCGGGCTCTGTGGCAACTTTCACATTCTCCTCTGACCTGAGTACATAAAAAGATTTATATTGAAGCATTAAATCTGGTGACAAGAGGAAAGGCAAGGGAGGAAGAGAGAGAGACTGATATGGATGGTAAAGTGGACCAGGGACAGAGAGTAAAGAACCATTAAAGCAGACATACACTCACCTACTGAGACCATGATCTCCGTTCTGTTCCACATACTCCTTAGGATTTGACACTGGCTGCACAGGAGTGATGGAGAGAAAAATGAGATAGGTGGAATTGCAAGGGTATGCATAGTGATGTGTTGATAAACAATAAAGGGTATTTTAAACTAAAACATTTCTTTAGTTTTGGATAGAGTGAGGAAATGTTAAAACCCATGTCAAGTTTTTATTGCTGTCTGTTCCCACTGGTAGAATTCACACTATTTGTCCTGTTGACCATTGTCTCTTAAACAGGAAGTGATGGTAAATCCAACATTTTATCAGGAATAAGAATAAAGGGAAAATTGTAGGCAAACTGCCTTCTGTAGTTATCCAGTATGATGCTCCAGCAGGGGGAGGAAAGGGTTAATATTTATTCTCATCATTTTTGGGTGGATTTTGCAGGCTTCTTGGGTCCAACCTACTGATCCTGTGTGATGATAAATGATGAGTCCGGCTGGTCGGTGGCCGTCATCGGCCCTAGTTTGATGAGCCGAAGTCTGTTGAACTCTCCAACCACCTACATGAAGGTGGTTGAAATCTCCAACCACCTTCATGTAGGGGGACTGCTGGGACTTGCAGTCCACCCAGAAGACACCAGCATCTTGGGATCCACCACTATAGACTCTGCCACGTATGGACTGTCATCTGTGAAGGTATGCTGGGGCAGCCACAGATAGGCAGGTAGGGGAAAACACATTGTTGTGTTGTAATGAAGTCTTACAGTAAAGCTTTGAAACGCTTTAATACCTAGTCTGAAGTTTTTCAAAGGGGTTTATGAAAGTAAATGGCACATTGTACATCTACAGCCTGGGTCAGTTAAAGCACACTGGGGTATGAAGGCAGGTCTGCAAGAGTCAACATGTACAAAGTAAAACAAGTAGTTGCCAAGAGTAACAGATGTTTAAACCAACACAAGCAGCCTGTTGTGAAGTGTGGTACCTGTGCCAGGAAGGTTTACTCCGGTAGTGAGGGGTTGCCTCAAGGACCCCCTCCCCTAACATCATCTCTCATAGCAATGGGAGCAGATCAGTGTTACGGAGGCCCTCAACCTGGCCGCCAGGTACAGGAGAATGCGAAGACAAAGTGCACACATGAAGTCCTTGCTAGGTGACCGGCGAAAGAGGTGAAAGAGATACGCTGGACAGGTGGAGTGGGCATAAGCTCAGTGTGTCCCTCCTAAATGCAAACAGTTACAATCAAGGTGGGCATTGACATGGCACCAGAGAGTTCACTGCAGTCCAGTTTATTCACTTCGTGTGCAAAATAAATACATAACCCAGCAGAGTTTGTAACCATTTTCAACCACTTTATCCACTTTTATGGGGGGAGGTGAGTGTTAGATGTACTAACAGATTTAAATACAATAACAAATTGAAGCTCACACTTTATAAGCAGCTACAGCAAACCGTTTTTTTTTTCCTTTTGGGATAAAAGTTATAAAAAAAATAAAAGCCCCCCTGCCTGAGTTAAATGGTTTGTCTCATGCCTGTAACTAATACATTTGCAAGACAGATTATTCTTTTGAAAAACGACAAACTTATTGGCTGAATAACCAGGCATACACAGAAGAAAGAAAAACTAAAAAAGAAAACCAATGCAGCTCCAATGTATTAAAGGTTTGCTTTTAGGTTTAATATTGCTTAAAGGAAGCCAGTGGTTGATTTCACCTGCCATCATTTATTAAGCCCTGATAAACACATATCCGTTTTTGGATGCATTTTGAAGTGCAGGAATTCATGTGATACGAGAAATAAAATGTTCAGCTATGGAGGGCGTTCACATATATGCAATCCAGCTGCAGTACGATTTTGAGAAAGGGTCATGTGCGAGTTTGGAGCTGTGCAATCCAAATTTGAGGTCCACAGAGTTGAACAGGAACTGTATGGGAAACGGTTATATGTTCAGGTATAATGCGATTCAAATGTGTTTTTTCATAGGTGTACCCTGTGTTACTGACCAGCCAGAGAGAGAGAGAGAAACTTAAATTGAAGCTCTATGAAAATCATATAAAAAAACGCATTGGTATTCCATCTGAATCACAGTTGAATCAGAATTGGTTAACTGAATGGCACTGGAAAACTGAACAAATTCGTACTGCTTATGTGTGAACCTAGCTTAAATATGGAAGTTGTACTTTGGGGTGCACTGACTCTTTAACTGATAAAAGATTTTATTATTTAACAGTCCAGTGCCCAAGGAAAGTGACACTCTCTTGAAGCAAGGTGTAAATATGAGGTTCAATCCATACAGGAAAAAAGAGGAATGCTCCTGTGGAGGAAACTCAATGGGTCAAACTGAGTGAAATTAATCTTTAATGGGCCACAATATTTTTATATTGACCCACAATGGTCTCTAGGACAAATACAGACGGCTATTCTCCCTAATAGGGACATTTGCAAGAATCAAGAATCGAAGCTCGACATGGAATTCTAGCCTTAAACTAAAAATAAGAATTTTGGATTTGGATATTAAAAGTTAACCACTTGCACACGTATAGCTAAAACATTAAAAAGGCCTTCAAAGGGTATGTTCTTGTTTAGGTAATTGAAGAAAGAACATATATCAAACCTTGTGTCCTACTAGATCTGTCCCTGTATGTGCAGCAGTAGTGGTCAAATAAAAGGAAGGATAGCATTTGCTGACATTTGATGAACTAATATAAGCCTGAAGAACAAGGGAAAATAATTCTGGACTGAACCTAATCAAGTGACCTATAAAGTCCTAAATATGACCAGCTATGTGATGAGGCTGGGAGAACACCAGCATTAAGAGAATTTGTATAGATGATACAGTGCAAATTTTAGGACCTAAGTTTACTCACCGGCTGGTTGGGCAAACTTCTCCTTCTCCAAGAAAACCACCATCCCCGACTTTGAGGAGGCATTCTCTGCTGAGTCAACTGATCAATGACTCCCTACAGACAGAAGGGAAAAGCATGAGCAAAGGAATGACAGAGAAAGGAGCCTGATGCAACCTGATGCTATACATTACCTGGGGTAGTTCTTGATTGAAGGCTTGCATACATAACACAAGAGGGGCAGCTGTTGCCCAGTTGTAATACCTTTGGATAGTATAAAAGAAATTGCATTAGTAAACTTTTTGAGGTGTTCTAAAAGATCATTTTTAAAGAGGAACAACCACAATTTTTATTAACCATTTAAAAATCTTGTGTGTGCCTTAGTGAATGTGCCTTAAGCCAGCCATAAATGGACCAAATCAGCACGAACTGGCCAAGATTCAATCCATCTATAGGAAGGCTGGTTGTACTGAGGTTGATCCATCCTTCGACTTCAGTACAACCGACCTGTCTGATTTTTGCATACATTGGTGGCAGCTCTCGCCGCTAGCAGTGATCATTGTGTTCTACCAGCAGGGAGTCTTCCCACAATAGCAGTGCAGGAGTGATTTTCCCATCCACATTGAATGTGTTGATGGGGGAATCAAGCGATTGTATCATCTATGGCTGGCCTTATTATTCCTCTTTCACAAGGCACGTTTGCTAGCCTGGGAACTGTTTGAAAACAATACCAAAGAATGCTGCTCCTATACCCGATTTGACGGTACAATGCAATGGATGATCATCTGATCAAAGATCAGGTGATTTAGATTTAATGCTGACAGCAGTAGATGTGAAAGTGGTTCTGACCTTGGTAGTGCTCACTAGAACTTACAGAGATTTTAAAGAATAAGTTCACCTTTAAAAAAAATAAATACATGCACATTTTTTTGGAGGTAAAAAAATGTGCATTTACTATTTTCTTTTAGGAACCTGCAAAGCGCACCAGCGATCAGCAGGACTCCTGCAGACTACCATTTGCCTGTACATCAGGCAGTTTCACACTGACAAGAAGAATCAGTGAACTACCAGATCGCTCAACAGTGCCATGATAGTTCATTGAGAACTACAAGCCCACAGCTGCACAGGATGTTGGTACTTATAGTTGATTCATTCACAGAGCTCTGTGAATGAATGACTAGGTCGTGTGGGCAGAGCTGTTCAAAAAGTGACAGCTAGAATGGGCGACTTCTTCCCGTACTGCTGTCACGCATAGTCGCTGCATGAGTGGGAGCATGTTACATGACCCTAAAAAGTCATATCAAGATTTTTATGCTGCACTGCACTTATGTATCCTTTGGGGAAACAGATCAGAAACTGCTCGAAAAAGGCAGTCCCTGCATTATTTAAACAAACGAGCCTATTCCATGGGATGGAACACAGCCAACTGTAATAAACAGATCACTCTTCTAGAGGGATCCCTAATGCCTTCATTTTTCTGGTTTTGGGGCATGCAGCTCCTTTACTATACGATTCAGCCTGCAGATCAGTACAGATAGGCTGAATGCAAACAACACAGTGTTTATACTGGTCTAGGCCTGCAATGACATTGTGGTAAGAGGTTATATTTGAAAAGCTGTTTGGTGTCCTTGGATATATTAAATAGCTAATATGATTTTAACATTCAGTTGTTTTTTTTTTTCTTTAACAGATAATGGATTATTTTTTTAACATAAAAAGGAGTGCTTTACTGAAGTCAACGTACATTGCAGCAGAAATGCACAAGACTACATGGTACAATGCCAGAAATAATCATGGGACAAGTAGCAATAATCATGAGAGTCCAGCTATACAACATAATGAATGGACAGGCAAATAACAAACAGAGGTCGTAGGTAGCATAACACAATCATAACGGAGGTAAAAAAGCACAGCAAACCATCTATGAACTCTTGGAACCGTGCCACATAGGCAGGGGTAAAATACCTAAAAAGAGAGTAGGAGGGTAGGGGGCATCTCAATATTCCTGAGAAAGGGAAGGAAGAGGCAATGAGGAAATGGGAGAGGGACAACCCCAACAAGAGGGGAAGAGGGGGAGAATCACTGAGCAAATGTCCATGGAGCCCATATCTTATCATACCTCCAAGGGCAACCCTGGTTAATATAAGTGAGTTTATACATCGGCAAAGCAACATCCACTAGAGCCTCCCAGGCAGACAGTTAAGGGGGATTATAGATTATTTTAACTCCCAGCATCTAAAGATCTAATATATATGAGAATGCCTGGTTATCTTGAACAGGCTATGATCAAATTACTATAGTTTGTCCAGCTATGTTACCTTGAACTACTATCCAGGTTTAACTGAAATCTGCCTTTTCAGTGGTCTAGAAACCAAAACTGTTATGAAGACTTTGGCGAGGTATGGTAATAATAACACAACATATACTATCAATGGAAAAGTAGCACTAGCTGGAACTGAAAGGAAGCTTATTCAGCAGAACTTGAAGAAAAAGAAAGAAAGAAAAAGCTAAACAACAATAACGGAGGAAATACATTATAAAATGGTTCACACTTATTGTTTATCTGAAGCACCAGTCTTGGGTTGTCTATCAGTGAAGGGTTTTTGCAGAAATCGGAATATGAGATCTTGTATTTCTGGAACCGGTCTGTGTGTGGAGAGAAGACAATTAGACTGTAGGCAAAAACAACACAGTGTAAATATAAAGCTAGAATATAGATATCATACAGAGGTCAGATATCCTTACTCAATCCAGACAACGAACAACCCGGCCAATGAATTTATCAACCTAAACTCTGTTGGTCAAAGTTGGCCCTACACTATATGAGTTTCTGCTGGCTGTCCCCTGTACCAGACAAAATTCACTGGCGTGGGGCCCTGTCAGTACCCACCCATACCACATTATTTGATTTAAATATTTTGGCCACTGTTCAGGTATTCTGGTAGCAGGTAGAATGCAATAGCCTGACATGGGGGATTCAACAACAGCTTTAGGGCTTATAGGGCCAGATGCAGCACTTTGCTCATCTTTGTTTGGTCCTTGGGGCATTATTTCTCCCACTAACGCTAATGATGAGGCACTATTCCTTCCACTGACACCAATGTAGGGATGTTATTCCTCCCACTGACATCAATGATAAGGTGCTTTTTCCTTCCGCTGATACCAACAATGGGGCATATTTCCTCCCACTGATATAAATATGTAACCCCATCCCTCCCACTGACATCAAAGATATGGCACTATTTCTCCCACTGATACCAATGATCGGGCGCTATTCCTCCCACTGACAGCAACGATGGGGCACTATTCCTCTCACATATACAAATGATGGGGAACTATTCCTCCCACTGACACCAATGATAGGGCACTATTCCTCCCACTGACAACAATGATGGGGCACTGTTTATCTCACTGGCAAGGCAACAATGATGGGGTATGTATGTTTTTTTACTCGCAGTGACATAGTTACATAGTTAATCTGGCTGAAAAAAAGACAAAAGTCCATCCAGTTCAACCATAAAAAAAAAAAGTTATAATCCTACACCCACAGTTGATCCAGAGGAAGGTTAAAAAAAAAACCCAATTTGCTCCTGCTGGGAAAAAATTCCTTCCTGATCCCCTGAGAGGCAATCGGATATTCCCTAAATCAACTTTACCTATAAATGTTAGTATCCAGTTATATTCTGTGTATCTAAGAAAGAATCCAGGCCTTTTTTGAAGCAATCCACTGAGACCCAACTCTTGAGGGAGTCGTTTTCACATTCACATAGCTCTCACTGTGAAGAAACCTTTCCGTGTTTGGAGATTACATTTCTTTCCCTCCAGACATAAAGAGTGCCCCCTTGTCCTCTGTGATGACCTCAGGGTGAATAACTCACTATATGAACCACTGATGTATTTATACATGTTGATCATATCCACATACATACCCCATATAAACAATGATGGGGTATGTATGTTTTTTACTCCCAGTGATCATCAAGCCTGAGTTATTATCTAGACCCACTGTGATGTTATCACTGTCACAGGGGCGGACTGACAACTCATGTGGCCCCCCGGCAATAGGGGATCATGGGGCCCCTGTGTCCTTGCCCAAACTCAAAAAAGCCTATGAAAAAGGTACCAGGTGCATCTCATGGGGCCCCCTACTGACCCCGGGCCCTCGGGCAGTGCCCGAGTTTCCAAATGGTCAGTCCGCCCCTGCACTGTCACTATACCTTCAGGAATTTTCCATGAGTCTGCAAGGCCTCCACATAGTGACAAAGCTACACATGATGAAGATGACTCCATGTTGTCATCTTGTACATTCTCTGAGTTGAGCTGAGGTGGTGGGGGTGGTGGATGTGGTTCACTGTGGGAGGAAAGACAGGAGGCTTATTCTCAAAGGCTGATGAATTGTAAATGTCCAGTACAATTTAAAGCTGAACTCCAGGATATGCAAATATTGTCTAAATACAAAAGTCATGTGTATTCATATTGAATCTTGGTGTGCTTTGTGTATTTCTTCCAGATCTCTGCAATAAGATCTGCGCAAAAGGTATAACATTGACCTGTGCAGGAGCTCCCTGTAAGAAAGACCAGTCACTGCTGCTTTCTCTTTGTTCAGGGTGACTGGTCTTGTCTCCGCCCCCTCCTGTAGTTTTCTACAGGCAGCCTATAGAGGGTGGCCCTTCTGGGCCCCTCCCACTTCCCTGTTTTCTGCCCAAAGGATTTATATCTTTTGTGGCTTTTGAGGAATACTTTTGAAAGTTCAGCTTTAAGTTGACTTAATTTTAGCCTTGAATAATTATTGCATGTTATGTCTACTATTTTCAATACAGTACAGCTACATTCACATATATCCCCCCATACTGACCTGTTGGGAAAATAGAGGGATACTTCCTCAGAGTCTGGAGAAAGTGCTTCATCAGGTAAAAATGTTATTGTTGCAGAAGGAGCATCTGCAAGAGATATGAGAAATACTAAAGTCAGACTTAAAAGGAGTTTTAGGCTATATACCAGATAAACAGTTAATTGTTTAGTTGAAAAAGGTGTATGAGTGCAGCTTTACTGGCCTAATGATTTGGTAGTCCTGTGTAGCACACAGTTTTGGCATACAACATGGAAGGAAGATGACTCCACAATTGCCTGGTTCACTTTTGTAGCTCCCTGTCAAAAAGGGATTTGCTGAGTAGCAGAGCTGTGTAAATCTCAGAAATGGAGGGACAGAAATATAAATCCATTAGCAGGTAAACAACTCCTGCATATATATTCTGTCCGTGTATATAACAGTTCATCTTTAAAGGAAACAAATAGTGAGAGAATATGGAGGCTGAGATTGATGATCTCTCCTGAAAATGCTAGTTGCCTAGTTGTCATGACTATTTAGTGCCTTCACTGCTATCCAAGACATAGAACTGAAACAGCTATGCAGAATAATGTCAATTTCTATGCATGTTTGTTTGGGGTCTGTGATCCAAAAATAGGGGCATGCAACTAGTATTCAAAGAATGGGATCTCAGTACAGGTTCCATGTAAAATAAATATAGCTATGACTTTGGGGCCTAGCTGTGTATATATTAAGCTATGAAATGGTTGTCAGGCATCTCACCTTAAGGTATACACTGTAACGTAAGGCCAAACCTTTTTTAGATCTGGACAGAGTGTGTGTGTGTGGTTGGGGGGGTCCTGACAACCATTGTCACCGGGAATAAAAAAAGTGAGGACAAAATAAAAAAAATTATAAGCTGCCACCATAACAATAAATAGAAGGGAAATCTTCCAGTGGGGACTCTTGTTCCAGTGAAAACTGTCTAATGGCTTGCGGTGGATCGATTTTTTTAAAGGACGGTTGACAGATTTTGGATATACTTTAATTTCATTCAAGCACATTCATAGACCACATCAGTTAGGTACCATTTTGTTTTGTGGAATTTAATGTCTGATATGTTTCCTGTACAATATGTTATATCAGCTATACTGTATATCTAAAGCCAAAACCTTTTGTATTTTGGATAGAGTAGGACCCTGGTGCCTGCGATCCTTACTGTGCTGCACTCTGGGCCCCAGCAGACACATCCTAGAGTGGGATCTAGGATCTTACTGAAAAAAATATGCAATTTGAGACAAGTGATTTACAAGAAAAATGTTGGGAGCCCAATTGTAAGAGCGCTCATTTGTAAAAGGGGCTGTAATAGCTGTCTTGTGTAAGATGTCTCTAGACTATGTCCATCTCTTGGAACATGTCTCCAACCACTCCTATAGCCCTATAACATGTAGTCTCTGACCATGTCCTGTTGGATGTCTTCGGTCTCTGAAAGTTTTTTATAATACTACATTCACTAAATATCGTTACCTTTTGGTGATGGCAGGGGCTGCAAACTAGGCCCCTATATTAAGTGAGTTGACCACAACTGGAGCAGAAAATGGAGAAAGCCCTGTCAGTTTTTTATTGTTGTTGTAGTATGTGTAGCATTGGGGAAAGTTACCTCTTAGACAGGTGTCCCCACTGGAATACTCCCTGCTATTCTTGTTCCAGTGATAACTCCAAACTGGGATGAGCTGCGGTATACATGTTCTTCATGGCTCACCTGGAAGAACGTGGAAAGCAGGGGTATCCTCTGATCCTTCTAACAGAGCAACATGGAAGGTGCCATCCTCCTCTTTAGGTGTGTGAAGGAGTTCAGGGTCTGCTACGGCAATGGAAGGTATCTCAACCAGCTCCCTGACAGGACTGGGTGGTGTGGACTGTGATAATTGAGAGCCAATATCAGACCGAGTGACCTAGCAAAGATAAAAAAAAATATTAAATTGTTGATAGACAGATGTTGGTTGAAGCACTCACAGGACTTGTTAGCTAGAGAATGTCAGCAAACAGCAAATCTTTATTGAGTGACCAACATTTTGGTGTGGTACAGCCCACCTTTATCAAGGAAAAACATTGAACACACAATAAATATTTGCGGTGTTTGCGAATTCTCCTGCTGAAAAGTGGTGTGAGGAGTACCTTGACCAAAAGTTGTGTCTCACACAGAGTCCTTTCTTGCTAACCCTCTCCCCTCCACTGTCGATCCCATTGCCTCCTCTGCCGCCCTCCATTATCTCAGTGCAACCCCTCTCCCCCTCCTCTAAATCCATTCCCATTGCTTTTTTCCCCTTCGCTTTGATGATCTGCTCACCCACCACTTCCTCCCTTTATTCCTATCCCATTGACTCCTGCATCCCTCTCTGTACTATGTGACCCATGTCCTTTTACCATACCCATCAGTTACTATGACACCCTGGCACACTTAGTGCAGAACACATTCTCAACAGGAAACTGTTCCTACCATTAAAGGACCAGATGATTGTCTTTGTCCTCCAGGACAAACATTTCCAGCCCTATCCTGACTATGAAGTGTCACCCCATTGATGGCTGGTCATGAGTGGTCTCACCTGTGGGAGCCTTCCCCAGTTCCATTCCATGCAGTTCTCAGATAGAGATGTGTTTAGGATTTTCAGTTCCAGCTCTGAGTCACTTTTAGGTGACGGGGATCGACTGCTGAATCAGATAAATTTCTAATCAGCAAATTGTGCGTATGTCACTGATCTTCACATACACAATATATAAGGAAGAAAAACGCCATGTACCTAACATTAATCTGCATTGTTATTGTAATGGAAGACATCGCATTCATTTTCCCACACACAAGTAAAGCTCTAAAGCTATAAACCGACTGGTTGCTTCAGTCACAGGGTCTCAATTATGAGTCAGAGAAGAGTCATCTCATCCAGTGTGGGGCTTCCATAATCATCATTCGGAGTTCTGATTCCTCAACATGCTTATAAGTCATCCACATTGTCATATGTGTGCCCCTACCTTCAACCCATATTTACTTGTTTTACCTTGAGGATAACTGCAAGGGGTCCTCCTCGGGGTATGTGTGAAAATCTTTAGACTGTGAAAGGGAAATTTCTTCAGGGAGGTCAGAGAATGAGAAGTATATGGAGTCACTGGATGGGATATGAAGGAGACACAGTATAAAAAAAGACACTCAGGATTGTAAAATACCTAGCTATAGCATGTAGAGTACAATGCATTCTGCCTTCAACTTTCCTTGTCAATAAAAAAATCAAAATCATTAAATGTACACTTAGCAATTCAAATATCTCCCGCAAGTCAGACATTAGCTCTATTCCACACAAAGGAACCTGTTCTGAAGTTAAAGAAGTTCATTCTGCTGTTTTTTTTTTTTTGTGATTATTTGATATTGCTCGCTTAAGGAAAGTCCAGTTCTCATAAAGCCATGTGCTTGTGTACTGCTCATCCCCAAAAGGGCCGTTGTGTTGGTCCCAAGGTTCTTTCCTCAGTAGATGCCCTAGCAGCCAGGCACACAGACTCACTGTCACTTTTCCAGCTCAATGATCAGTCTAGGAGTATTCTTTGTGAAGTTTGATTGAAAAAAACTTCAACTTAGATGGGTGCAGGAATACCGTGGGAAACCGTGGGAGGACACCTATCTTCCTATAGATTCTAAACACAGTCCTTCCAGCAACAAATAATGGGATGAGCTACACAGGGACACCATTAACAATGTCAAATTTCAAGCGCAAGCTGACTCTAATGCAAGGGGGATAGCAGCAGCACACAGACACTGGGGTCTCACATACTGGTCTGTACTCACTAATGACCTTGGATAGTTGGATACCTCCTTCCAATATCTGCCATACATATCTCCTGTGAATTCTTCAGACCAGATCCCCCAAAAGACGTCCATCAGTCAGCTCCAGTAGAGTTCAGTAGAATAGGCCCCAGCTACCAAAGCTGGGACCTTGATGAAAAAACACAGCGGGACTTCCCAGAAGGGCAGTAGCCCTTCAGGCTGGAATCTCTTCCTTCAGGGCAAGAACAGGTAGCTCCAAGCTTTAGACCAGGGGTGTCCAACCTGCATCCCAATATGGATATGAATGCGACCCATCCTTAAAAATGTGGATTTTTTTTCTCTAATTTTTCATAAAAATGTATTTACACTTAGCGAACACATGCAGCCAAAGAAAAGTTTGACAAACTTTCTTCACTGAACTTTAAGTTTTATCTTCCCAAAGAAAAATATTTCACTCAACAATAATACCACATTCATCTCATCGGTTTTCGACACAGCCTAGTGAGCAACTATTTTCAAGGGCAAAATCAGAACCAAAATATCTTATGTGCTCCTTGAGAACTAATTCATTATTGCTACTACATCCATCCAAGCAGATATTGAGGTGTTAGTTTATAAAAAAACAGCATCAAATTATAGCACTAGCTTTATGGTGCTCAT